TAATATTATACCTACATGAAGGTACACACACATACGTCATTAATATTATACCTACATGAAGGTACACACATACGACATTGATATTATACCTACATTAAGGTACACACACATACGACATTAATATTATACCTACATGAAGGTACACACACATACGTCATTAATTTTATACCTACATGAAGGTACACACATACGACATGGATATTATACCTACATGAAGGTACACACATACGTCATTAATATTATACTTACATGAAGGTACAAACACATACGTCATTGATGTTATACCTACAAGAAGGTACACACATACGTCATTGATGTTGAAGAGCACGCTGAAATCGACCAATGCGACATGAACGTCATAGACAACGGGCACGTGTGTGTACTGTGTGCCGCAGTCGTTGAAGTTCCACGACGACGACAGCTTGTTAAAGTAAGGATGGTGAGCACGCAACAGGTTGATCACAGGCACCTGCAGCACTATATCCAGCTGAGTATAGAGTGAATATAGGAAATTGGGTGGGAGTGAGTGGTTAGTATGGTCTAACAACAAGCACCTCCAGCACTATATGCAGCTTAGTACAGAGTGAGTCAAGTGAATTGAGTGGGAGTGAGTGGTTACCAGTTACAGGTGATAATATCGTCTAACAATAGTCACATGCAGCACTATACATAGCAGTGTATGCAATAGTGAGGGTGGGATTGGTTTGCTTGTTGTTGGCCATCAACTGCTCGTATAGCACCCGTTCCCTGCCCCACTATAATACAAACCTGACCATACAGTATGGAGACCGGGACTGTCTTGTTACTATATTATTTGGCCCGTAAAGTCGGGATCCCAACACACACAACACACACCAACACACATTAACACACACCAACACACAACAACTCACACCTTCCACGTGCGTAGAGCATTGAAGCGACGTGGAGACGGCATGTCCAGACTGACGCTCATGCTGTGGGCCTCTATGAGCTTGTGGCTGTAGAGCGATGTGTGGAGTGCCGCATTCTTCACAGCCAGTGTAAGAGTGTGCAGCGAGCCCTGGTCTTCGTTCGTTGTGTAGTCTATGTAGTAGGACAAACGCGAACCTTCACCCATCTGCATGTGTGTGTGTGTGTATGCATACGTATTCATATAAGCATTATTTTTACATTCGTATACATATAGGAAGGTTTGTGCATTCGTGTACATATAAGCATGTTTGTACATATGTATACATATAAGCATGTCTGTACATATGTATACATATAAGCATGTTTGTACATATGTATACATATAAGCATGTTTGTATGCTCCAAGAGAACATTTACACATCCTCATACACACATACGTAAACATGCAAGCATGTTTATATCCCAAGTGAACATGTACGCATCCACATACACACATACATACACCATGGTGGGATACCTGAGATACGGCCGGGATAAGTTAATAGCATGCAAGCGTGTATATATACATGTGCACATACCACGATACACACGGTGGGAAGATAAAGAGCGAGCATACATATGCATGAACATATGTGCATATACAAGTACACGTGGTGTGGAGAGGCAATAGATAGCAAACCTACTTATGCATGAACATATGTGCATAAACTACTACACGTGGTGTGGTGAAGCGATGCCCATTCAGTGTACAAGCAGTTTATAAGAACAACAAGCGCCAGAAGGCTTGTCAATAAGTATCTCTGCGTGTACATTGCAGCAAGTTGGCGAATACTCCATACACCCTTCCCTATGTTCTAAATCAACATCTACTAGATCTATGACCCATGGCTCGGCTTGCAGACATGTACTTAGTTTACAGTCATAATTATGTGTATGCACGCCGATATCTATTTATAGAACTACCATGTCTTTAGAAATACTCGTGTGTGTGTGTAATGCACGTTGACATCCTGTACATATTTGTCCAAATAAACTGTAACCCATCGGTCTTCATTCAAATCTCACGGCAGAAGCGCCTGCCACACATCACATCACGTCACCCCTGGGATTCGTAACTATGACGTAAATCAATACAGCAAGATATGGTACACGCAATGTACTGGTATTATGTACTAGTATCAATTAGTATGTACTAGTATGTACTGGTATGTACTGGTATGTACTAGTATCAATTAGTATGTACTAGTATGTACTAGTATCAATTAGTATGTACTAGTATGTACTAGTATGTACTGGTATGTACTAGTATCAATTAGTATGTACTAGTATGTACTAGTATCAATTAATATGTACTAGTATGTACTAGTATCAATTAGTATGTACTAGTATGTCCTAGTATCAATTAGTATGTACTAGTTTACTAGTATCAATTAGTATGTACTAGTATGTACTAGTATCAATTAGTATGTACTAGTATGTACTAGTATCAACTAGTATGTACTAGTATGTACTAGTATCAATTAGTATGTACTAGTATGTACTAGTATCAATTAGTATGTACTAGTCTACTAGTATCAATTAGTATGTACTAGTATGTACTAGTATGTACTAGTATGTACTATTATGTACTAGTATGTAGCAGTCTGTATTAGTATGTAATGATATATATTAGTATTAACATATGTATACAACTGCAATCGTTCCTCAACACCTATGCACAGCTGCATACCGAAAACGACATGTTGGACTTGGTTACCCGAACGTCTCCTTCTCTCAAATCGAATTCCTAGGTGGTTGATAAAATTCGCATAGGAGCAACAACGTAGTTGATTCTTAGATAAAAGGCATGCTTCCCCACGCAACACATACATCGAAATACATTTATAGATA